GGGTGGGGGGGCTAAATTCTAGCTAGCTACTTAACTAGCTAAATACACATTTTTTTTCAAAGTCACTTCCAGCATTCGTAAAGAATGTGACTCTGCTGCCTTGCGCTTGCAGTTATTGCAAATGTGCCATATAGTCATTAATTAAGCCAATATTTTTGACCTCGTATGCCAGATGTTGATTTAGCATCTAAGCATTTCTTTTCGGCTCGAATTTTTGCATTTGTGTAACCGCGCCTTACTGTCTTGCCACGGTACTCGGTCTTTACAGTTCTAGTCGGTAATGGGTAATTTGCGCAAAATGATATATCTCTATCCCTTTTCTTTTATCACATACACGTCTCATGAAGTCGCAGGCAATACCTTATGTGGATCGAGATGAAGTCTCATTTTATCCTGAGAAGTTAATTTGTAAGTAAAATCAGGGCATTCAATTTATCCCATGAAGTGGTAATATACCATGAAGTATCATAACGTACGTTGCATCATTCTTTCTGTCACAGGTACACATCCCAAATGACACGGACACCACGTACTGGTGCACTGGGTTCCTGCTCCCAAAATTCAACGGTACACACCATATGATCAGGGTAAGTGGGCAACATCACTGCTGAGAAACCGCATATTTTTATATTTACACATCCAGTGGCGATAAGCACAATTATTTTGATGAGTTTCAATCAATCTGGCAGTCAATTGATTTATCTATCTATATATCTATATATCTATCTATTTACCCATGTACCTATCACAACAACCGGAATCTTAGTACGTTATGAAAGTCTCTCTCCATATTACATTAATTAATTAATTATTTATTTATTTATTTATTTACTTACTTACTTACTTACTTACTTATTTATTTATTTATTTATTTATCTATCAATCTTCTGTCAAACAATGAAAATCCCAAGAACGATCTCTTTATTTAAGATTATTGCAACGCGACTGGCGATTTGATAAGGATCAGCCGTGGCATTGGAATCTTACAAAGGCATGGGAATCATGTTACTTTCCTTTTGTGCTCTAGGTGGATCCAATTGTTCAAGCTGTTCGATCTCTTTATTTAAGATTATTGCAACGCGACTGGCGATTTGATAAGGATCAGCCGTGGCATTGGAATCTTACAAAGGCATGGGAATCATGTTACTTTCCTTTTGTGCTCTAGGTGGATCCAATTGTTCAAGCTGGGCACGAAGCCGTTGTTCATCACATTATTATCTATGGCTGTCCTGCAGGCTTCAACCGCTCTGACCTTCATATGACAGGAGGGGTATGCAGAAGTGAAAATATGCCCGAAGACTTCAATAACTGCGAACATCTTCTATACGCCTGGGCTATTGGGGGAGAGGTACGTGTGATGTTTATTATGGCACACACATGCGCACGTACCTTCACGTGCGCACACTGGTTTTTAAAACACAAACCTGAAAACTTTCAAAATGTGATAATTTCATCCATACTGTGTTTTATTTGCGGAGACTTATTTTTGTTTCGCGGCCAATTAGATAAATTTAACTCATTTGTGATTTTTAATATGAAAAACGATTTAATTAACGTTATTTTCAGGATTTTCAATTTATGGCATAGCATCAAACTCTAGACATTAACTTCAGTTTGCATTTTGACAATTAATTTTATGTCAGCAAAAATTGTAAGCTGCAAGTACAAATCTGTTTTACTCATTCTGGAATTATAATCAACACACGGAATTTCTGTACATTTCAGTCACAATCATTCCCTGATCACGTGGGCCTCCCGTTTGGAGGTCAGGATGACCCGAGGTTCGTTATGGTAGAGACCCACTACGATAACCCAGGACTTAGAAGCGGTAGGTACAGTGAAGTATGTAACCCTGCACATGTATATCTAAAGCAGGAGTTGTTTCGAAGTTTGTGGAAAATAATTGTCCCAATTAGTTTTCNTGCCTTGTTTTTATTGTTTTTCTCTTTAACAGAAAAGACTTATTAGTACCCATGATTACTTCAGTCTGTACGTTGTACTGAGCTATCACTTCCAACTTTCGTACCGCACTGTACGTAGGACTACGTGTATCTTCTGGAATGGAATTTCTCAAAAGCACAAATAGAAACTTTTTCTTTTTGACGGAGATTCTCATATCTTTAATTCTTCAAATAAAACATTATATAAGCAGCTTTTGAAAAGGCTGTTCGAAAGAAGTCTTCAAAAGGAAGTTCAAAGATATTGATCATAAAAAAAAAAAATTAAATGGATGAAGTTTTATGAGAGACGTTGAAACTTTCAATATAAAAACCTTTACACATTTTGACACCAGGTTAAACCTTGAACCACCATGGGTCCGATGTTAAATGGATCCGTTTAAAACATATACTTACTGAATAACACTGTTTCTATGTATGGCCTTCAGGAAAGCACCATGCGTCTGATCTGGGCGTACCGAGATGGAGACCCCGACACTGCCAGCGGGCCGCAGTACCATAGCAGCAATAGAGGAGTGAAGAGCGTCTACCTCCTCGAGCCCTTCAGACAAGAACAGCAGCAACCGCTTCCGGCTGACGCCTACAGTATCGACTTGCTAAACGACAAGGTAAGATGAAACTCTTATAACTGTATGTATTGAAGTGTTATCATCTTGGCAGATACTGCGGACCATTTACTTCCAGTAGCAAATCCGTTGACACCTTATTTCTCTTTCCACCAACAGCCTCACTCTCAAATGATGGTGGAAAAAAGTTGCTCAAATGGGGAGGGGGGGGGGGGCTAAATTCCAGCTAGCTAGCTAACTAGCTAAATGCACGTTTTTTCTTCAAAGTCACTTCCAACTTTCGTAATTCTTTTAATACAAATTGCAAGTAACATAATCAACTATTCATAACTCTGAAACGCTGTTCCAAAAATGCCAATACACAAAGCAGCAAGTCATAGTGCGTTTCAAACAGTGCAGCTTCTCCTGGATAAAGAATGTGACTATAGTCATTAATTAGGCCAGTATTTTTGACCTCGTATGCCAGATGTTGATTTAGCATCTAAGCATTTCTTTTCGGCTCGAATTTTTGCATTTGTGTAACCGCGCCTTACTGTCTTGCCACGGTACTCAGTCTTTACATCTCTTGTCGGTAATGGGTAATTTGCGCAAAGTGATATATCTCTATCCCTTTTCTTTTATCACATACACATCTCATGAAGTCGCAGGCAATACCTTATGTGGATCGAGATGAAGTCTCATTTTATCCTGAGAAGTTAATTTGTAAGTAAAATCAGGGCATTCAATTTATCCCATGAAGTGGTAATATACCATGAAGTATCATAATGTACGTTGCATCATTCTTTCTGTCACAGGTACACATCCCAAACGACACGGACACCACGTACTGGTGCACTGGGTTCCTGCTCCCAAAATTCAACGGTACACACCATATGATCAGGGTAAGTGGGTAACATCACTGCTGAGAAACCGTATATTTTTATATTTACACATCCAGTGGCGATAAGCACAATTATTTTGATGAGTTTCAATCAATCAGGCAGTCAATTGATTTATCTATTTTATATATCTATCTATTTACCCATGTACCTATCACAACAACCGGAATCTTAGTACGTTATGAAAGTCTCTCTCCATATTACATTAATTATTTATTTATTTACTTACTTACTTACTTACTTACTTATTTATTTATTTATTTATTTATTTATTTATTTATTTATTTATTTATCAATCTTCTGTCAAACAATGAAAATCCCAAGAACGATCTCTTTATTTAAGATTATTGCAACGCGACTGGCGATTTGATAAGGATCAGCCGAGGCATTGGAATCTTACAAAGGCATGGGAATCATGTTACTTTCCTTTTGTGCTCTAGGTGGATCCAATTGTTCAAGCTGGGCATGAAGCCGTTGTTCATCACATTATTATCTATGGCTGTCCTGCAGGCTTCAACCGCTCTGACCTTCATATGACAGGAGGGGTATGCAGAAGTGAAAATATGCCCGAAGACTTCAATAACTGCGAACATCTTCTATACGCCTGGGCTATTGGGGGAGAGGTACGTGTGATGTTTATTATGGCACACACATGCGCACGTACCTTCACGTGCGCACACTGGTTTTTAAAACACAAACCTGAAAACTTTCAAAATGTGATAATTTCATCCATACTGTGTTTTATTTGCGGAGACTTATTTTTGTTTCGCGGCCAATTAGATAAATTTAACTCATTTGTGATTTTTAATATGAAAAACGATTTAATCAACGTTATTTTCAGGATTTTCAATTTATGGCATAGCATCAAACTCTAGACATTAACTTCAGTTTGCATTTTGACAATTAATTTTATGTCAGAAAAAATTGTAAACTGCAAGTACAAATCTGTTTTACTCATTCTGGAATTATAATCAACACACGGAATTTCTGTACATTTCAGTCACAATCTTTCCCTGATCACGTGGGCCTCCCATTTGGAGGTCAGGATGACCCAAGGTTCGTTATGGTAGAGACCCACTATGATAATCCAGGACTTAGAAGCGGTAGGTAGTATGTAGCCCTGCACATGTGTATCTAAAGCAGGAGTTGTTTCGAAGTTTGTGGAAAATAATTGTCCCAATTAGTTTCCTGCCAACATTGAGAAATATCCTTTTACGAATATAATAAATTTAATCATCCCACGAACCGACTTCCGATTAAAAGCGAAGTGAGTGCATCAGAAACTGTTCTTGGTTTCGGAGTATGAAAACAAATTTGTGCTTGAAAACAGATCTGCTGGTCCGGCCTCCAACCCCCCTCCCCCTCTTTCCCTATCCTCTCTGCGTCCACCAACATTCATTGTCATTCCCAACCACTATTTCAGATTACGTCGATTCGTCCGGAATGCGCATGTGGTTGATTCCACGTCGCCGTCAGTACGACGCAGGTGTTCTGATGAGCGGAATGCAGACTAACCCTCTCTGGTTCCTTGTTCCACCACATTACGACGACTATTACACGTGGGGACAATGCTCTGCTCAAACCATGGCCAAGGTAACCAGTATACCATTTTGGTCAATCAGGAATTTTAATTTAAATTTAATTTTAATTAATTAATTTTAATTAATTTTAATTTTAATTTATTTTGCTATTTTACTAATATAGGTCTGACGTACGCTATTTTTAGGGCCTATAGGCATAAAAAAGACGCCAAGTTTTACTTATAACTTGGGTATGTGCTACATGTCGACATTTCAGTAGCTTAAAGCCTGTTGATGTTGATTACATATATATTATTTGGTAGTGGTAATCAATTTGGTGTTGAAGATATTTTGGCTATGTCATGTTTATTTCTGTGACGTAGGCATTGGCGCAGCAGCCTGACGGTATCAACGTGTTTGCGGTGAACCTGCACACCCATCTTGCCGGAACTGGAGTATGGTTACGTCACATCCGGAATGGTGTTGAACTCCCATACATCGCCTACGACGACAACTATGACTTCAATTTTCAAGAACTGCGTTTTTTGAAAAATGAAGTGAAAGTTCTCCCGGTAAACTTCCTTCAAAATTAAATAAATGATAAAATAATAAAAAGGCAGTTTCTTTTCGGATTAATTTTTACATTTTAAAATAGATGCTATGGCAATGCTCTTTTCTTTTTAGTGTCTGTATATTTATCAGCTTTGTAGTCTAGTTTTAGGAAGTGCTGGCGGCAGGATACGCAACAACTACTAGTATTATACGCAAACTACTAGCGTTGCCGTTCGTTTTCCGTCATATATATGTAGGCCTATTATTCAACAACATTTACACGCTTAATCTTCTCCAATCTTATCATTATTCACGTTGAGATTCAGAGTAGGCCTAATTGTTAGAGTGCTCAATATCCTTCGTTGTAACCTTGGCTGATTATACCGGTATTGGCCTAGAAGAGATATTTTACCGTTGTCTCAGAAACTCGGGGTTCAAACATACACAATCAGCAAAGGTTGATCAAATGATAAGCCTAATGTGAACACCATATCAATCTATGGAGAGATCGTGAGGTTATAAGTAAGAATATTATATTATATTATATTATATTATATTATATTATATTATATTATATTATATTATTTCAGAGCGACGACTTGGTAAGTTATTGCCGGTACAAAACGTCCTCGAGAAGCACAGTAACAAAAGTGAGTAGAAGTTCACTATCTTTCTCTCTTGCTGTGTGTGTGTGTGTGGGGGGGGGGGCGTGCATGTGGAGGGGGGTAATACTTATATTTTACAGTTAGAACTCAAAATTGTATGATTAATGGCGACAAACAAAAGCTAAGTAACACCTTGCGGTGCACATACTACATAACTTCTCTACATGCAATTCTTAAAAATTTAGTTTCTGAAAAATCGAAACTCCATGAGACAAAGTTTCAATTTTTGGCACCATGATCATTGATTAGTTATCCTCATTCACGCACAACATAGCCGGTTTAACTGATCATGAAATATCTCATTAAATGAATTAAATTAAAATCACATACCTGGGCAGATGAGTCCCCGTTAATTGTGATGCCATTTTAAATTGAAACGCCAACACAGGGCACCAATTAAAGGTACCTATTCTGTGTTTTTTAACAGGCCGGCCTTGGCACCAAAGACGAAATGTGCTTAACATTTGCCTTCTATTATCCGAGAGTACCCGGCTGGAGCTTCTGTCTTGGCTACCCTAAACAGGAAGACCTGGTGAAGATAAGCACGGGTTTAAGTTACACGTAAGTATAGAGATGGGCACAACCGTACCGCTGCCAAGATACAAAAGACGGGGAAGCTTTACTCCTAACAGTGGACAAAATTACCATTACAAGGCATCCAGTATGTATTTGGTTATTTTGTCCGTGTCCTAACGTTAACTTCGAAGCTAGGTCATATAGATACATTTCAAGTGAATATAAGTTCGTGAACAAAAGAATATATAGTATCTTATGGAAGTTTATCTACTGATTTCAACATATTAGTGTTCAAAACTACGTTTAAGTTGAGTTATAACTAGTAGGCCCTATATATATATATATATATATATATATATATATATATATATATATATATATATATATATATATATGACTACTAGTATAATATTACTTTTAATTTTGATATCATAGATCTAACTACTTTTCATCAATATATAGATTTACGTGTCCTAACTGTAGATTAGCGGTAAGCTTGCATATCTGAATGAAAGCATTATATCCACGCTCGGCTGTCACCTTGATATCGGTCAATATATAATCTTTCCTTATTTTCTAGAACACTATATGACGGCTTCGTCCTCAATATCACAGCGCCTGCCAAACACGCGGGCATTGGTCGGCTAGATAGCGTTTTCGGCGACGTGGACTGGACCAATGCCACAGTAAGACAGAAATATCAGGAAATCGCAAGGAACGCTATCCACGCAGAATACTATGGGCGCGATGAAGTGAGTCATTTTAGTGGATATTATTTCAGACTTAACAAAAAAATTAGTAAAAGTAATTACATTTTCAAACATGCTAAGATAGAAAAGTATGCTTAGATCTTACCGAGATGACAACTGTGGAGCGTGCATGTATAGTGGTGGTGAAAGTGTGTGTGTGTGTGTGTGTGTGTGTGTGTCAACAGACACATTTTCCTTTTACCACCCGTCCCGTCAGCAGAATCATAGATCTACCGATGCACTACAGGTCTGAGTTATCATAAAGTCAATATTCTTTTTTCCCTCCCATGTAAAATCCATTCACTTTTCTGCGTTCTGTTATGTCCATAGACATGTAGGGCTTACCTTCGAAGTATTAAATTTCCAGTATACCGTCGGGGCCTACGTCGACGTTAAGACGCCATACACCTTGCCAAATACGTGCCAATCACCCCGAACTACAGTGGTCACGTACAGCGGCCAGGGACGCGCCAGGCTGGCAGTCACCTTTCAGGCTCTGGTGGTGTTGATTTTCTCAGTGGCAGCAGGACTGGTGTAACGGATTCTGAGCCAGAAACTACCCAAGATTGTAACCGTGGCTATTAACTTACCCAGCAGACACAAACCATTGTAGGCCTATCAGCATTTATGATTCTTGTTTGATTTTTTATTTTTGCTAAGTGTAGACTAGATTATTCAAGGTTTCAGTTGTGTTTGAATTTGAAAATATGTTTCAACGTTGGGAATTGATTGTTGAATCTACAATGATGTTAATGTTGAATCAATCGTTTATCTATTTTTTTTTGTTTGGTCAGTAGGCATTAGTGATGATAGAAAAAAAAATGATGGGATTTTTACGACAAATCTCATTTTCCTTGAGGACTCATTCCTCTCCTACTCATTAATCACTAGTCGACCCCCACCAATTGTATTCGATGTTTTGTACCATTTCTTATTAAATAACTTACAATTCACAATATGTCTTTTGGTGTTGTCAGAAGGAAATATCGGCATCGGGTACTTACATTTTCTTACGGCCAGTATTGACAAATTCAGTAGCTTTGCGAGATATTTTAATGTAAAAATATATGAATTACAGGATATTTCTAACGCGTTTAAAATACGTTTTAGATCAGGTTCCCGAAACGAGCCTAACCTGTTTATTTATTTTTTCATTTTTTGCCAAAGCTATTTACATTATTTACATCCTATTTGCCACGAAGTACCCATATAAATGCAGGGCTACTTAACAGTTTAATAGTAAAGCTGTAATTAAACTCTTTTTTAAAATGTGGACCATATACAGGCAGTATTATATAAAAGGAATTTATTTTATAAAGGATATTGATATCACAAAGAGAAAGCCTCTTGTATGCACAACCAAAACCTACGGCCACAGGGCATTTTCAATTTCAGCGCCAATTTTATGGAATCGACTACCCTCACACATTCAGACTATTGATAGTGTTGAGGTTTTTAAAAAAGATTTAAAAACATTCTTATTTTCACAGTATTTTGATTAATATTTTCTCATTTTATCAGAAAAAAAGTTTTGTTCAGACCATTACTATTTTAACCAGCTTTAATTATTTTAATTGTTTTTTACCTTAGCTTTTATTATCTATATAATTAGTTGTAATCCTGATAATTTTACCTGTAAACAGCCCTGAGACGGTAGTATTGTGCGATTTTAAGAAATAAATATTATTATTATTATTATTATTATTATTATTATATTAAAGTTTATTCATATTTCTTTCCAGACCGTATAATTTTACTGTTATTTCAACTGGTCAAGTACAGGTTGTTGTTATTTCTTTTCCCTCACGACAATCAAATATTTGCATATGCACCCATGGGTATTATTATGCAATAGAACATTATCTTGGAGGCAAATATACACACATTTTTGTGAAATGTAATGGTGAAAAATTGCTTAGGAGTATCCTAAATAAATAATACGTACATTATAACTTTGAAAATTTGGTTGTCCTGTCATTGATGATAATGTTCTAGAAATAAACAATTAAGCTACATCTACATACCCTTACATGCTATGAAAATTTGATGGCCACGATTATAGTTTCACAGTAATGTTTTAAAAAATAGTTATAATAAATAGTTCCAAAACATGCACTGCCATTATATTCATATGATTTGATATTCCCCTTTTAATTTACTTAAAATAGAAATGTAGCAAACATATAAAATCTTTTCAATGCAAAACACTGAATCCAATGTTATAGAAAATTGTCATTTTATTCTAACAATAATTGTTCAAAGTCAAGGTGGGTTGTTGGAAACTTATTTTGGAGATGTTTTTCGTTACAATACAATCACTATCAACATCGGCATCATCACCTTCTTAAGACAAACAAAGTTCTTAACAAGTATGCAATAGTTATTTTGAATAATAGTTCAACATTTTTTCTTTGCTCTGCCAATTTTTTCTTCCGATTTACAATCCCCATCACCTACTGTTTGTCCAGGGTTATAATTGCTTTAAACTTGGATGTCACATAATTCAATCTAGTAATAAAGTTTATCAGGTACAATAATTTCAAATTGTTTGAAAAATTATTTATGACATGCAAGCAAGACTAGTAATTAACAGTCATTGTACACATACACCACATGACACCAGTAACAACTAGACCCAGACAGTCACGTGATAAGGCCAAAACCTTAAAGCTTCTGTTTCAAAGGTAAAGAACCAGTATGAGAGTACATCATAATTATCCCATCTTTATTTTAATTTTTGTAAACCCTCTCCCTGTTTTACAATTCACCTGTCCCCAATCATTTTAAGCAAGAACGGCTTGATTGCTCCCATCTTGGTGTCCTGTTCATCTGAGCTAAAAATGTGGTCTTCTTTCGTGGAGAGTGGGCCTCCCTTCATGTGTGTTTGCAGCAGGCTCAGAAACTCTGGCATGCTGCAAATATAACCAAAGCTCTTTTAATTACAGTCTTGACAATGATTTATGCCAGTCCAGACCTGCAAATCTGTCTTTCACTTGTAAAATAAATGAATATAAACAGTACATGTATTACTGCATATTAGCATATTCATGAAAGTCCAAGATTTTTAAGCTAAAAGCCTCTCCTGCACCATTTATTTTACATTAATTATATTGTGAAAGACAAAGGAGGTTACACTTAAAACCTTGACCTCTGTGACTCGACCTCCAAAAGTAACTGATTTCTTTAGAAAGGGTAAATATTCCTCAATATATGGCACAAAAATGTGTATGCAAGCAAGAGTATGGAGGGGATTCTCGCACACTAAATTAAAAGTTACCAAAAGTTTACTTGTGTTATTTTAATAAATTAAAATATCGTTTTCCACTTCTAAATATAAATATGCCTTAGGATGAATAGTCTTCATGCAATATGATAACTGTATGTTGCATATAATTACAACTAAGGGGGTGTTGTAAATTAAGAGTTGTCATGTATTATACCTGTACCTGTATACAAAAGGACCACATGCAAACAAGATCATATATTGTTACAGTAGAGGAACCTTACCTTATTCTATCTGGCACAGCCTCCATTATACTGGTACAGTATGTGGCAAACACACCAGCCTGAAAGAAGAAACAGACACTATCAACAGGCTATTTTGCTAGAATCATTTTGAAAATGCACTGCAAAGTTATTCCTACTTGCCAAAATTTGTTTTATGTGAAAAAATAAGGAAGAAAGAGTTGGACCAACCCAGTTAGTATGAAATGTGAATCTGAATGTGGCCATACCTTCAGTACTGCAGTTAGAAGCAGCTGGAAGAGTTCAAGGTGGAGGTCACTGTGGTCAGCCAGCTGCTGGACCAGTTTAATGGAAGGAACCCAGAGATGGTACTTCAGCAGTATGTGGAGAGCCTGCACCTGGCTGGCTTGCATACCACTGAAAAACAAAATAATTCATGGGCAAAAGTTGTGAAAACTGCAAATCCTAAAAACCAATCTTGCAATTTCCCATTGCACCTAGCTAGACCATAAGAAAAAGATGATCAAAATGAGATTGAAAATGCTGAAATCAGGCTAATCCTGCTAACTTTCACCAATTATACGTAATCTTGTTATTTACAATATTATACCTGTATTACATGTATGCATTGAAGCACAGAGGCCCATCTTAGTTAATATATAAATTATCATACAGTTATGCTGTGTTAACTATAACATTTTGTCTAGTGTTCTATTCCAGCATTTAATGTTAACAATTTTTCACATTTAAAAGTATTCTACTGAGTACTGCTTTTCAAACTATAGAAACAATTTTTTTAAAAATCATTTCAAAAGTATCAGTCAAGTTTGTTCCATCCTTCTTGTTCTATTCTGTCATATTATTGTCAGATTCTGCTCAGATCTTACCTATTCAACACCAAGGAAGCTTGAGCAATGGCGGCACTCTCAACCTTGCCAGATCTTTCTGGCTCTCCCACACACTCCAGCGCCCTTTCATAGAACTGATGCTCTTCTTTGCGGCGCATGAATGCTGATGTGCCAGAAATTCTATCACTAATTGCTTGGGACATTTTGACAAAGCTGATCTGGAAATATGCAGTGTTGAAGCTGTTTTTTAAAAACTGCACGTCCATAGTGTATATCACAGGAATATTAAAATCTAACCGTACTCTTTTGAATTTAAACATAAAAATTTAATTTTGTTCATATCTTAAGTGCAGTGTGGGAAAAAAATAATAAAAACAACATTCAGAAGATGTTCAAGTAAAAACAACTGGGAGCAGGACATACCAGCTGTTCAGGTTTCTCTGTATACAGTAATCTGCACAATATTTCAAACAAAGGGAAGGTGGAGCCACTGCTGCCTTCTTCTGAGGCAAGTATGGGGGCCCACTTTCTCAGAGCCTCTTGTGACAGATCTGGAAGATCATTCATATACTGACACATCTTACCAAAGCTAAAAGATATGACCAAATAATATATCAATCACAACAAAAAAAGCACTCATTAATGTAAAATTTCAAAATCACGAAGGTTGTTTTTTATAATTTTATTTTATCACATGTGTAGGTATCTTACATTTACATAATACATGATGCTATAACATCTCACAGCCACTGGAAACTACAGATCCATGCTGACAGCAGAGAATACTGTGCTGCAGTAATAATGAGTACATAATCTTTGAAACTCAGGGTTATCAGAAATGCTTGTATCAGACCGCATTCAAATTCAACATCACACAGCTGGATCGATCCAACTGTGCGGGAGATTTTCACTAATCATAATTCTCACTAATTACAATTCCCACTAACTGTTATCAGCTTAATTGTCTCATAAGCCTCCCTGAGTAGCCAGTCAACACTACGTGTCACACATTTAAACCAATTACAGTGATTGCACTTAGGGAGTATCTCCCACAGAGTTGTATCAATCCAGCTAGTGTGACATGTTTATCTGAACCCTCCCTAAAGGTGAATCACGGTTAATAGGTTGTTTCCTCCAAGTACCACACCCACCCTCAGTACTGAGATCCAGGTATTCAATCAATGTTTCCAGGACATCGAAGGGAAAGCTATCGGCCAGCAGCTCTAGTTGAGATCTCCGTGCCTCCAGACTGCTGTCGCCCTGAACTATGCCTACTATTACATCCTTCAGGGTCTGCTCTCTGTGCTGCAGGGCAGGCTTAAATATACAGAACCATAGGGTGTACGTTTTCAGTTCCAAGTCTTTTTAAAAATGATAAGAAATGTAATTAATACAATAAGAACTGATGAACATCGCACTTCAGCCATATACAGTAATGCTAAAATGTCATTTTGGTATTTATTTTAAAATCACCACAACTATCTAACAGACTCATAAAATAAACATGAATCATAATAAATCATGAAACAAAAAACAAACTTATATTAATAATTCACATCAATGATTTATCAAAGCTTCCTTGGAGAAAAATTACTTTTGTGCTTAATATCATTAACTTAAAATGAGAGTTTACAAAAAAATAAAATAAAATAAAATAAAATAAAATAAATAAATAAATAAATAAATAAATAATGAACAAAAAAGAAAGAAAGAAAATAGTGATATATATGGGAAGTACAGACTGCTAAATGACTCTGAGATATTTATTTCACCTTATCATCCTTCATCAAAGCTTGCACCTTGTCTTCCAGTCTCCAGTACTCCTGTAATAGTGGACCTAGGACAGGGAAAACACAATTGTGTTCAATCTCAACCACTGTCACAACTATCACATCTTTGATCATGAGACAGTTAAAAAGACTGCACATTAAAGTATATATTGTTATTTAAAACACAAACATTCCATTGCTGTAACATTTATCACATATTCTAATATTGCAGCTAGTGCATCAGAGATGAAACATTTACTTGCTTCTCAATCTTTGTTTTAGCACAAATTTAAAGTGTCTAACCTGTTAAAAAGGTGAAACTTCACAATATCTTTGAAATCCAATAGATTCTAAGAACTTGTTTGTCCTTATAAAAATATACAGTCAAGCAAAAATCTTCATATATTTTACAAGTAGTTTAATGTAAAATAAACAGTAGAAATGCCACAGAATTTTTTTCTTTGACAAGCAAAGCTGACATAGAAAATTATGCTGACTCACCTACAAGTTGGTTGAGTTTTGTGTGAAGTAATTTGCTGTTTTCGCTGCCATACTGTTTTTGAATCTCCTTTAAAACTGAAGACAGTTCTGGGTTGGAGCTATTTTCTCTGCCCTAAATATATTTGCTTTAATTAGAAGATAACCACACTGTTGTTTTAAAAAATTACTTTTATCACTAAAATTATCAGGCAAAAAGGAACTACTAAATGTTGATTCAACTTTTATTCACTGAAATAAAATTACGTACATGTATTTCACTGTGTGCTTACCACTAATCTTAACCCATATTATTATATACAAGTAGTATAAAATCTTTAAATCAAAAGAAATGAATGCTGCCTATTTACCTGTTGTAGCAATGCTATAACTAGAGCCGGGCTCTGAAAAACCTTCATGTTGAGCAAAAGATCTTTCGCAAGATCTGTATTGGGGTTGACACATTTGGACTGAAAAGAGATTTATTATATATAGTCCATTTTGCACAGACCACTTGTGGCACCTTTTTATTATTCTCATTTTTCAAAAATCTGTTAGAGTTAATCAAAATAAAATGCAAGTATATACATACTGTGCAGTTATCTTTTCATTTATTTAGTACACTTCATTTTGTCAACATTTCAACTAAAATTTAGTCTAGCTGATTTTTTTTTTTATTAATTTTCAAAAATTGTTAAAGGGAGTTAGCACTTCTTTATATATGTAGAACTAAAATACTTCTACTATTTCCTATTATAACATATCCCAGTGTCATTACCTTGTAGTAATTATGTGCCTCTTCTACCACCATCTGAGCCGCCAGGTTCTGTTTCCCACACAGGTTGAGAGGGACAGCACCTCCCCTGACCTTGGTCCACTGGCTGGATTTAGTCATCTTGAGAAATATAAGGAAAATGAATATGGTCAAGCACTTTCCTTATTCTTATTAATGACCAGAGATGTGTACTTATCTTTCTCAGAAAAAAAAAATGACTCAACTGTCTTTTTATCAACATTAGCCAGATTGCTGTAATCCAGGTGATGATTTCCATAATTTTTTTTTCAAATCCAAGTGGAAAAAATCTAGGTAGGGTAATAATTATTATAGATCATTCTGAAATTGAACAGATCCATAAAGACCAGACATAAAATTGTAAAGTTTACTAGTTCTGCCCCCCCCCCTTTTTTTTTTTTTTTTGAGAATACCAGGCTAAACTAGACTATTACACCCATGCTCTAATTTCACCAAAAAAAAGTTTAATCAGGTTCCCTTGCTAAAATCTTTCTTGGCAATGTTACATGGGCACATGCACATCCTAGTCTAATCAGGATTAAAGATTTTTCATGAAATGGGGAGGGAGGGGTCAGGACTTTTACTTTGCACTTACTTTTATGCCATATATTCCAGAGTTACACCAAAATCCAGCACTCTGGATTCTAGCCATGCTGTTCCACACATCCAGAGGAGACCCACAGGTTATCTCTGTGTTATCAAGCTCTTGTAAAATAGCACCATTCTGAATACTATAGAACCTGCAATATCAAAGAATATACAGTAGATATACCAGGTATTGATAGGTACACGTACTGATTGGATTAATTAAATAAATTTCACTGCTGTATGGAGTAATTTTCCAAGCATACCTACAGGATTGTACTACTTTTTACAATATTATTTGGTCTACCAACTTCAAAATTTTGTATGATTTCAACTCAACATTATTTTTAAATGAGGCAACAGAAAAGCCTAAAATCTGATTCTCAAGTATATTATAACAAGAAGTTTTCTCATAAGTAACCATAAAATATTTACAAATCTAACAATAAGTAATTTATTTTGCATCAGTGTCACTTTTCCTATACACAAAGAGTAAATCATACCTTAGATCCAAAGTAAACTATCAAAACAGTTTAATCGATTTTTTACTCCATTCCACAAGCCTGCTTCCAACTGTTTGGACTAACGCACAGCGTGAAAAGGACCCCAAGCCACACTCACCTTAAACATTTTGTATTCATAGCCACAATAGCACATCTGTATATCAGCCAGTGAGAGCCATGGACATCCTCCATGGTGCACAGTTGACATCCCACTCTCATGTCTGGAAGATGACACAAACTTTCACCATGTACTGAACAGTGCTGATTTTTTTACAGCAGAAATTTATGATCACTTTACAAAGCAAATGACATTTGAGTGATTTGTTACTTTCCCCCTTGTCAAACCACTTTTTACAAGATGGTATAAATAAGATGACAATTAAATGGATGAAGATAGAGCTTGGTGTCTTTTCACTGAACTTAGCATTTTTGCAAACTGATCAATGTCAACTTAGAAACTTTTAGAAATTAGCCAGCTCAAATCAATGCTTTCTAATAATCGGTTGTTTTTTTACACCACTAAATTGTGTGTGTATATATCTATGGATCTGCCCCTGATATGTATATACCTTCCTCTTCACAGACTATCCTTGTAGAGCCATCATGGTAGAGCAGATGAGTTGCCTTGGTAACAGGATGAATCATGTGACCTTCTATTTGAGGGAGGTCTCTGGTCTGAAATTGTTCAAAGCTGTTTAATGGGATTCTAAAACTATATACTGCTGCCATAGTTTCCCACTGCTGCATTTTAGTAAAACCACTCTCTCAGAGACCATTCCCACAGATATTTAGATCGATCCATCCCCCTAGGGAGTCTCACTAGATTGCTGTCAACCTTACCGGCTTAAATGTATGTCCCGCCTACTGAAAGCTGTAAGGGGGTAATTAACTTTCTTGCACACTTGGATCCTGGAAGCTGACAGCAATTTAGCATAAACCCCCAGGAAATTAAGTTGATCCAGATGGATCAATCTAAATCTGTGGGAACCCAGTCTAAAATCTGAAATAATTTTCAGTAAGTCCTATAAGCACATTCATACGTTGAGTATCAATGGCAATTAATGGCTTTGGTCTGCAAAAAATAATTAATTAAAAAAAACAAACAAACAAATAAAACAATAACAACATATAAATAAATAAAGGTACAAGTCTAAATAATCATAATGATAACATTTTATTACATAATATTTAAACACCTAGTTGTCAATATCTCAAAGACAACAATACACTGATCAATAAAAGGTTTTCTTTTCAAATCAATATTTTTTAATTTTTAAAATAAATAAATAAATAAATAGTTCACACAACCCACCTGGCACCATATTCCCAGCAGCCTGTACACACTGTCTTTATATTGCACTGGTTGTGTGACTCTGTCATCAGTGTGGACACATCCACTGGGCAAGATGTGGCTTTGTAGAGTGCTGATCTGGTGAAACCACTTGAAAAACAAACCTTGAGGACCAGGACTCCTAATAATAATAATAATAATAATAATAATAATAATAATAATAATAATAATAAATATTCAACTTACATTGTTACATTATAAATTGATTATATTGTTCAGTTGATTAGACACTGAATAGATTTCCCATGGGGATTATGCAACAAGCATTTAAGTGGGATATATTTGATCGGCAGTTCTCTTAGTCCACTGTTCTGAATGTTCTCATACATGTACTTACTCAGGCCATACAATAAGGCAGTCCCTCCCAGGCAGAAGTCTGCAGTTTGGAGAACCCTCTAATATGGTGACTGTGGCGCCTACTGTGCTCTTGTTTACAGGCTCTGACTCTGAAGCAAAAACATTGATCATATTACATTGCTATTCAACAGTATACTAATATAATACACCTCCTCCCTCCCCCCTCTCTCTCTCTCTGTAGGGGGCGGGGCGGCATGTCTCACAACATAACATATCAACTAAACTATCTTCATATGAAATATTTACTAGTACACATATCAGACAATTTTAATTTTAAAACACTACAATATATAGTATTTTTTAGCAATATGACTTTTAATTTAATCCATTATGCATCTATTTTTCAACATCAGTTTTCAATGAAGTAGTAAGCAATCTCACACTCAGGCTATTACAGTGGCAATCTTACTGCCTTTACAGCATTATCGTTCATTAGCATTATATTAACATGACAGTATTTATAGTACGAATTGCAATCCTTAAAAAATTCAACATAAAAAGTGTCTTAAATATGTTTGATAATGACCACACAGACAAATAACATATACATGTATAAACAAACCCACACCTGTACCTGTAAATTTTTCAAAAGCAAAAGATATTTGTTTAGCCCAAATATACACAGAATGATGACTTCATTTTTTTTTTATTTTGTGTTATTAAACAAACCTGGGGGTAAAGTTTTTTTGCAGATGTTAAAGCTTGCTGCCTCCCCTGTGCCATGTCTTTCACACCAATACATTGTGTTATGAAGGTCATGCAAGGTTACACTTATGACCTTGACCTCTGGGTCATGACCTTCCAAAAGTTCAAAGTCCCCCACTTTGATCCATGTGAACTTATTATCAATGTTGAACTGCCAAACATCAACAGCGCCATTAGCAAACACCTAAAAACACAATATTATAGTTAGAACAACAGAACCATCTAACATGAAAAAAAAAAAAGTATTATTCAGGGAATTTTCCTAAGTTAATTAATGACTCATTTCTGTGTCCATTTTATATAGATTGTCTTTCTACCCCATTTTGGGAATGTAATGATGTTGGGATTAAATCTCAAATTTTATTTTTTGGACTGGATAAAGGGGGTATATCTTACCTGTACAAGTACTAGCCATTTATAAATCTCAAAGAACTTAAACACATGTATGTGAAAGGAACTTACCAGTAGTACCGGTACATGTATCTTACTGAATGGTTATCCATATCTTATAATGAACTGTAAAAAAGCCTTCTATAGATACTTACTATTATCACAAGTGATTGTTTCTTTTTGATATACAACATATCAACAATGGCATCAGCTGTACTTGGAATATCTAGGCTTCCCAGCCTTGATAAGGCCTGGAAATTATAAATGACACCAGTCCAATTGAAACTGTGAATGTTTTTTTTTTTTTTTTTTTTTTTTTGTGAGAATTTAATTTTTTTAAAACATTTCTGGTAAAATTATGAATGTTTTTGTGCTAGAATTTAGCTATTTTTTTTAGCTTTTCTGGAAATTAATTCTCCATACTTTCCCCCTACAGTGTACCATCAGTAAATGAACATGTCTTAAGATTAGCTGGGGAAAGCACCATTCTGAGTCAAGATTTTACCTAATACACTAGGTTCTATGAACACATAAATTTACTAGTAACAAGGCTCCATTTTAGAAAAAAAATATCCCTTTAAAACCGCTGCCTGCAAGTGAAGGAAGCAAAAGTACATATAGCATGGGAATTTACCACAGAGTGGGTTCTTTGAAAAGCCGATGGTTCACTTAATATTTTATATAACCAGAAAGCTTAAATCCTCTTCTTTTGAACAGTGACTGAGAGCAATCGAAATATATCATGGTGAAAGAAAAATTGCATTCATACACTTTGGACATGTTTGTCTTCACTGCCCAACAAAACTTCATACAGTAATGCCTTCATTCAGTTTCTAGACATTATATAGCACTAAGTTTAATAATTACTGCAGATGGGAACAAATTATATTTTAATTCACCAAATAAGGAAACAGAGTTTCTCAGCATAGTATTCCATATTCAGATTAATTTTTTTTGTAAACTATGTACAAAATGTATATACAAAGAAACTTGACAAAATAATAAAAAGTAAACAAATGTTTGTTTAAGTCAGGGAATCTATTCTTTCTCACTAGTAAATTAAGTCAGTGACTTTTCCTAAATTTTAAACTAAATCTTTCCATATGTGAAAAGTTGCCCACATTTAGTAGGCCTAATATTTGGGTGCTGATGAATATAACTTGGTAGAAATTTGTCTCTAATCTAGGTATATTTTACCATTTACGAGTTTCTATAGGTAATTTGGTATTAAAGGTTTTAAATGCACAATTGCCACATTACTAGTAGATGGTATTGCTGTACGGTATTATTCTATTTAAAAATTTAATTCTATTTTAATTTAGTGTTTTAGTGAATTACATACAGCTACCTTTCTTTTCCAAAATTGAAAGTTTATATATTTTACTTTTTTCAACCAGCAGATGTCTGTTCCATTAAATTTTTTAATTTCCACATATAAGTAAAACCACATTCATTGAAAATACTGGTACTATTGACATATTAATCACTCCATGGTGTTTTTAATAATTTATAAAAGACAAAATATAACCCAATTTATTGCTCGGCTTGTTATGTTATGTTCTTGAAAAATGTATCCCTAGATATTTATATGTTTTTAAAAATATCTAATTCTTTTCCTCCATTTGAAAAATCTACATTTTTTGGTTGTTTGCCTTTCCCAAACTCAGTAGTTTTATTACTGTTTACTTTTATGTGACATACTGTAGGTTATAATACATGTAGTGCTCAAACAGTAAGCAGCTTTTGCAGTTCAGTTAGTCATGCCATTTACATTACAGTGCAAAAAAGAAACAAAAAGTTTTAGGTACACATTCAGATCTGTTTTAAAAATTGTGGTAAGGTTTTCCAAGCCCTTACTTTTGTGTAATTCTAAAAATTCTTCTAGGTCATTTAGAAACATTGAGAACATGAATGGTGAAGGGTTTTAGCCAGGCATCCTCCACTGTTACATATTGAAGTATCTGAGATTTCAGTATCTTTTACAGCTTTTGCATTTAAGTTAACATCTCTGTTATACATGTACATTAGCAATCAATTTAAAAACATCTGCCATCTATACTGGTCACTAACATGTAAGTTTGTTCCATAACCCCATAGTCTCCATATATACTAGTACAGTACTATCAAATGCCTTAATTTTCAAATCTATGAATGCACAATGATTTTTTATGTACATGTACATGTGTAGTTTTGATACTTCTATTAGACAATTAAGACTCTGATTATACATGCCATCATGCAGTACCTGTGGTAGGGAAGTTGGCAGCACATCAAATGTGTACAGGATATGCCCATCTTGAACTGTAACAAACAGGTGGCCTGGAGTGAAGTACACCTTGTGAACTGGGCCTTTTTTCCCTGCAACCACTCCTTCCAGCAACTGTAAAATACTGCATATTTACTACTAATAAATGCACACTGCACTAGCATGTGTCTAATCTATAAGTGTACTCATGCTACTGCTATACCAGGGTACATGCACAATGTATAGTACAGGCCGGGGCAGATCCAGAGATATTTCCTGACAGCGTCTTCCAAATTTTCTTTGTTGATCCATCTTCCATTTTTGACCGTCTTCCAACAATAAAGAATTAGATACCTGTCAAAGTAATTTTGAAAATCTGACCATCTTCCAAAAGACTCAGAAGACAGCCTCCATGTTTAGTATATAAACATCTCTTTCCAGCTTTCTAGACGTATCTATTAAGTCTTAGCTCTCCCACTGGAGTGTTATCGGGAAGTATTAATGTACAAATATACTGTATAGAGATACTGATGCTATAAAGAAAAGAAGTGTTATGTGCATATATAACAGAGACATTCAGAGTTCAAAAGGGTGCTTTAGAGTGACTTGTAGTAGTGCTGTAAGTTCTAGGCTACCTGCCACATGGTTGCATGAGAGCGATATAGCGATACCAGTCAGAGACATCTAATGAGGTTCTGACGCTTTCTATAGAAGGGCGCCATGGTGTATTTCTTTTTGTCAGGGATCCATTTCACTGGACCAGTGTCCAGGAAAAGAAAAAAAAAATCCATTTTTTTTCTATTGAGTGTTAGAGTGTAGGGATTTGGGCTCTGGGAGGGTCTATCAGTAGTACAGTAAATAAAGTAATTTTACTTTAATGTTTCTGCAGATGTAAATGGGACAAATGAAGGAGAGCAGGGAAGGAAGGCAATAATACAGCGG